TGTAGCTTTCAGGTCATATTTTTTTTATTAGATAATCTCCAGTGGTTTAAAAGTAAACGACGTTTATTTAAAAAAATACTTTTTGATTTTTGTGAATTTTACTCAATATTTCAATTTTTTTGTATGAAAAGGCAAAAAGATTGTTCTAGAAATGAATTCGCCATCCTTTAATTATCCGAAAATGGTACCACACTTGCCCTAATACCCATAGTTTTGAAGATATGGGCCTTAAAGTGAAGCGCGGCGGAAGGAAACTTGCCCCCCCTCCCCCTGCTACCACAGGGGGGGCTCCCGATGTCTACCGACGGAAATCCACTCGGGAGCACCCAAAGAAACACTGTTGCAAAAATGAGCCTTCTATACCAAAGTGGAGGGGTCTCCATACAAATCATTGCACTAAATTCCCTACTAGTATGTTTATATCCGTTTTCTTGTGAGCGGACGCTGTGAATGTACGTCACACGGGGTCACGTGACCGTCGGCGGGACTCAATATTTAAAGCGAACTTTGAATGCCTATAAAATCATAACTACTGGGTATTTTTGAATGAAATAAAAACTAATGTATTTGTAAATGTAAAAGCTTAACTGTAACATAGGTTTCAAGTAATTTTGCATACCTAGTAACATTCTCAATTGTTTTGGCATTGAATTTGAGCGGAGCTTAAAATAAAAGCCGAACGATACGTTAAAAAGTTCACAAGTAGAAGTCACGGCTAGCTAAAAGTCTTATAGTGACACTAAAGATGTTCCTTCAGAGAGCACGCTATGGCCATGTATACTCATAAGCCTTGCAGCAGAAGTGGCGCAATTGGCGGTGTCTTTACTCTGTTGGCTTAGAGTTCACTTTTATGAGTTTTTAAGTGGCCATTATCACGGGGGACGGACTTAATGTCTTTATGTGGGGACTTGAGATGGCCGTGCTGCGTTTACTGTATTGTGTTTGAGATATTAAATTCGAATGGCAGTTGAAATTGGATTACTATTGCCAGACTTACTTTTTTCTGTTATAATATGCTTTATGGGCGTCTGATATACAGGGTGTCCCAAAAAATAGTGTCAAGCCGAAGCCCAGATCATCACTGTATTATGTAGCTGCATTGAACTGGAAAATCTCTCTGTTAGTTAAGACCTAGGAACTACTTAGGTACCTACCACATAAAGTGCCTTTGTCACCGCTTGTCAAGTGATCAGAGAGTTGAACAATCTCAATCTGGCAGAACCTGGATTCAATTCAAAATTGGAACGTATAACTTACTTGTGCATTTTTGTTCCCTTTGGTTAGAAAATGGAATAAACTTGAATAAATCTTACCATCCGCATAGAAATTTAGTTGACTACTTTAAAGGAAGATCTCAATCAGATGCATTTGTAAACTTTGACCTCAGCTGATGATACGACGTTGACACGAGGTAATTTATATGTCCTGGGATGGGAAGTGAATTCAGAATTTCAAGCAGAAAGTAGATTACAATTTCCTAATCTGCTCACCGCATAGCTATGAAGGCATGAACATTATCTAACATCCACTATTGACTTTAAGTTTTATGTTGATGGCAGACTGTACGATGAATATTACACTTGTAATTACCGTTGTTTTTATACCTAATTTATAATCATTTCTGTTAGTTTTAAATATTGTAGAATGAAAATAAAATAAATATTTATACATATAGTAATCGTAACGATTTTTCTAGCAATATTTCATTGTGAGTTAAAGATACTCTGACGCGCCTTGTTAGGGCATTTATACCGTTTAATGAGTAATAAACATACTTAATTAGGTGCAAGTGTAAATACCAATGGCGGTAAAGCACGATGAATGTTTGCTTATTACTTGATATTGTTATTGATTTCAAGGCACACCGCATTCAACCTTAAAATACGGTGAATACTCAATACTCAATCATAAATGTTGATATCCATAATGTATAATGACGGCGAAACTTAATATTGGGTTCTTTATGGAATCTGTTAAACTGTTAACAATTGACACACAAACCTACTTCAATATTTTATTTCATTAATTACGATCGTTACATCATTATTCATTCCATTTTATATGTTTTTGCGCTACGTGGTCTACCTGATGTAATTTCAAGTCGATCTTACCTTTGTTTTTCAAGTCGGTCTTAATCGGTTGGCGAAATAGTTGCATTCTTCAAACTGAGGTTTCTATTCCCAATTTTTTTCAGAATTCAATTAACCGGTATACAGGTACCTACATACGAGTATATTTGCTTAGGAAGCCACTTTGAGTCGTCAGTCTGAGTAACCTATATCTGACACTCTTCTAGTTTGACGACACACGATCAGCAGAAGAATTCTTCTATGTTTCCTCTTTCATCATCATATCAGCCACAGGACGTCCACCGCTGAAGATACGTGGGCCACAGTTCCAACTACCCATTTCTGTATTTTCTCTCGCTCTCATCAAATGGCGATTCTTTGTGATAGAACGAGACGACATGACTGGAAATGGGTAGCTGGTGGCCCATAGAACATATCTGTTTACTATTCCACTTTGAGTCGGATACACCCATATCAGACACCCTTGATCTCTCTCGATCAGCAGAAGAATCCGTCCTTATTTCCTATCCTTATATCCAATCAAATTGCTTCTCAAAACTTTCTCTGTTATTCAAGTCACTCGCTCATTCTAAACGAGCTTAAACAAGCACAAGAAGTACTCTTACCTACGACGCGGGTAGTAGGATGTGGTGTAATTTTTTGCCCCGGCCAGGCGCGGCTCCAAATTGGTAGGTAACCCGATAGGCAGTTTGTGGACACCGTGAGAATGGGACAAATCTATTACTTAACTCTGCCGCACACTGGGCCACTGCAGAGCCACTAGTGGCGGTCACAAATTGCTGATATAATCTTATGATTATGCATTATTTCACCCAATTCCATCGATCACCTCCTATTGAAAACTAAAAATGAAAAACCTTTATTTAATTTAGGCCAATATTTGGCATTTGTGAACTACCTACTTAATATAAAATCGCTACCTCATCAGCGCCTATCTTAACCTCCTGGGGCCCGGGAATATTTTTTATCGAGAATTCATATGAAAACTATCCAAATCGTATTAATGATTGATTTAATTATCTTAAAAAATAAAATAAAATAAATTATCTGGAAAACGACAATTTTCTCAATGTCATATATTTATGACATCGGTTCCCAATGTCTACGATTTTTTTGTTTCATGTACAGGATGTCCCGTTATCAATTACACAAAAGTAATTCTTAGTTAAGTTTCTTGAATACCTACAATGAATTTAAATCGATTTTTCAAATATATTGAGTTTCCAAAATTTTTTTTGCTATATTTTAATTTTTTTTTCTGCCTGTACTTAGTTTTTTCTATGCAGTGGATGCAAATATTGATATTTTTAAGTATTTTTTCGTTACAATGTAGCTAGATAGATTCTTTATCAAGTTTTATGTCATTTTTGGGCGATAACATTGCATCTCTATTTTTTTTTTAAATTTTATTTCAAATTTTATTGCATTTCATTTGGATGACTCAAATTAAAAAATTCTCTTGATAAGTAAATGCATCACACCAAAGTATAATTAACATTATGTGATGTAGATAAGGTCAATAGCAATAATAAAAATTAAAAAACGATTTGATTAAGTGCCTAATGAAATTATTTTAATTTCATTAAAAAAATCAAAGTGACTTGAGGTGTTGATAATACTTCTGGGCCGATTTTACTAGTAAAATCGAGTTTTGAGTATTCTAATATGTTATATTCGCTTATATCTACCTAAACAAATTAGAAAATAATATCAGATTGCATGCTATTTAATAGAAAATGTATAATGTCATACAGGTATTACACTGGGCTCTGTCAGTTTACACTAGTAATTGGGACCTCTTGTAATACCTGTATGACATTTAGATTTCACCATGGTTTACGTAGTTTTCATACGTATTTCCACAATCAGTGATACTCAGATAAATAACAGTTCAAATCCTAAAACTAATAATAACAAAGGCTTATAGAAATCGTTCATATTTTAGTAAAAATCTCATAATTACTAACCACTTGTTTTCGGTCGCGGCGCCGTCGCTAGTTCAATTAAAGATAAAAAAATATAAATGTCACTTCACTGGCCAATCACAGCTAAGAATGATGGACAGATGCATCATCTAACTAACTAACGTAAAAGTTCTGGTAAATTTCAACAGATAGCGTTGATTTATATTTTTCTGTTTTATGTAATAAATATATGACGCCAGGCCCCAGGAGGTTAAATACGTCTGATTGACTGAGTTTAGTTATGTCATTACCTACCTATACTCATTGTTTGGATAAGATGTATGTACAAGACTGCTTGCATGCATTTTGAAGCAGCTTCAAAATTGAGACTGTATTTTATGAAACTCATATGACTCTTTGTGTTATGTATGGTGTCGCCAAACACTATGAATGGCCGCTATCGAGTAATCTATGAGATCCAACTTGTGGTGGCCATGAGTGGCTTTGTAGTGGCTAGTTATCGGTGGCCCAGTGTGCGGCGGCGCTAAGCCGTTGACCGGCACGGATTGTATTGCATGTGGGTGACAAGAGCTTTTTTATATGTCTAGCTAGACTGAAGACAATAACCTAATGAGAGATTCTACTTCTTATTTGTTTTCTTTAATTGAGTTACCTATTTGGTCTTCTATGGCCCAGAAACGCAATTGCAACGAAACTGCAACTTCTAGGTACTTTCCTTTGTGTGGCAATTTTAAACCGGTTTCAAACTGGTCGCGTCATGTGTGGTCTCTCAGGCCCAGAACAGACGGTGAAACGCAACTGCAACTGAAAGTTAATTTTGAGTTGCATCTAAGTTTCTGCGTCTTTTACCGTGTGTTTTGGGCCTAAATCATCGATAGCATTTTATCACGGCGCGCATCCTAGCCCGATGTGCGTTCGACCGTACTTACCATGTGTACGACGTACGTCTAACATCTTCTTAATAAGTAATTTCTCTTCTTCGCAGGTCAATAGAAGTGTGGCTGAAGACTGGACGGCTTCACAGCGAGATCCTGGCTGAACAGAAGTTGAGCGAGGGCCAGCTCCGGAGACCAGGCAGCACTGTCATATTCTGGCTCAAGTGCGAACAGGTAAGAACATTCACTATCATCATTTCAGTCAACGGTTAACCACTATTGGAAGTAAACCTTCCTCAAAGAAGGCTATTTATTGCCTTCATTCAGTCACTACCTCTAAGGCCTCTGGATGAAGAAGCAAGACCTACCACTATTCGTAATCCGTTCGACTATTATGGTCGTCGGTCCATTTAATAGATGATCGTCACACGCAACACATTTGCAAATATACAGTGTGTCCGGGCTTGTAGTGATCAAACTTTAAGGGCAAAATCTAGGGACAATTTTATCGATAAAAATACTTCAAATTTGGGGCCTGACCCATTTCTCGAAAAATTACATCGATTTAAGTTTTTAATTTTTAGTTTACACCTCTTCTTTAAAAAACAAGTGAAAGCGTGGGTAGCTTAACATTAATAGGCAAATATTTTATATCATGCGATAGCCAATAAAATTATCTATTAGTAGAAGAAGAAAGCAGACACAAGTTTCATACATTTTATGGGAGTAAGAATGGATTTAATTAGAAAAATACATTACTTTTTTCACTTCTTTTTCAGTTATTTTCCAACACAAGAAAAACCAGGTCGTTAAGGTATGTTTTATTTGCATTGTATTATTAGTATTTGAGCTATTCTACAAAACGAATGTAAATTTATTAGTCTACGTCTATTAGTTTCGACGTAATTGTTGAACAAAGATACCCCTTCCCAGCGGTTTCCATAGTAATCGGAATAGGTTGTGTGATTCTTTCAGGCAGTGCATTTTCGCATGTCGCGTGCGCTATGGAAACCGCTGGGAAGGGGTATCTTTGTTCAACAATTACGTCAAAACTAATAGACGTAGACTAATAAATTTACATTCGTTTTGCAGAATAGCTCAAATACTAATAATACAATGCAAATAAAACATACCTTAACGACCTGGTTTTTCTTGTGTTGGAAAATAACTGAAAAAGAACTGAAAAAAGTAATGTATTTTTGTAATTCAATCCATTCTTACTCCCATAAAATGTATGAAATTTGTGTCTGTTTTCTTCTTCTACTAATAGATAATTTTATTGGCTATCGCATGATATAAAATATTTGCCTATTAATGTTAAGCTACCCACGCTTTCACTTGTTTTTTAAAGAAGAGGTGTAAACTAAAAATTAAAAACTTAAATCGATGTAATTTTTCGAGAAATGGGTCAAGCCCCAAATTTGAAGTATTTTCATCGATAAAATTGTTCATAGATTACGCCTTTAAAGTTTGATCACTACATGCCCGGACACACTGTATATTACCAATAAGGAATCAATTTTTTAACAATAATTATTAAACACTATCCAGCACATATATACTCAACATCAAATAAACCGCACCTTCCGCGACGGGAACTTTAACGATTTTCTTCTGACACAATCATGGTGCCCCAACAATATTGGTGTTATTTGAAAGCCCAATAAATATCCTTAAAGAAAAACACATTTAATTTCTTAATAAATGATTAACATATACCATAAATGTGACTTGAAAAAATACCTCATTTTGGGCCCACCTATGGTATCAATTAGACCAATTTTTATGGTTATAAAACCAAATAATGATCTCACGTGTCCTCTTTAACAGATGGATAGCGATTAATCCCAACTTAACAGTTTTATAGCCATAAAAATTGGCTTTAGCGTAACTACCTATTTTTTGAAGAAGTGAGACTGGATCCTTCCCTAGACAATTTTTTGGGGTAAAAACCTTTCCTTTAATGAAATGAAGGTTAGAACTAGGCTTTTAAATGGTGCCAATATTGGTGAGAAGTGGGGATGCATACGTTTGAAAATGATTGTCGCGGGAGGTGCGATTTATTTGATGTCGAGTGTATTTCGATTCATTAGTTTTTCAACCACATAAGATGCCACATTGTTAAACTTGATTGCGTATATTTCGCGATAATACATACACAGTATTACAAGGTGCGCAGAACATAAGCACTTTATTTACGCTTATGTATAAGGACGTTTTTGTAATCCGCCGACGAGTGTCAATCTTATTAAAATTATGTGTTTATTTATCACTTTTATATCCTTCGGAAATTTTAATTATACCTTTATGGTAATATTCCATGTCACGAATTTTAAACGCGGTGTGTGTCGCAAATTATCCCAACTTACCAATTGTCCCTATTTATTCAGGCATTTTAATAAGGGAAATGTCAGAATTTTCAAATGTCACACTCGGCGTGCTCATTTGAAATTATAATGTGACTATTTAAAAAAAGCTCAACCCTGGTGTATTTTAATTTTTGCATTTCAAACTCAATAACAAACTGTTTTTTATTTATAAACTCATCGCGCGCATTTACAAGGAGCATGTGCAGGGGTGAAATAAGAAGACACTGCGCAGGTGGTAAACACAGAGGATCTTAGCCCTTTCTCACACTTCCATAACTATTGCCGCTTCATTGCAATCTACGAGAATGGAACCTGCTTGTGACGCATCTATGTAACGAGAAGTTGGAATTAAATAGCGGAGATTATCAAGTTTAATGCTCATGATAAGAGAAAAAAGTTGAACCTGATAAAGTATAAAAATGTCAAAGGAAATGAGAACTTATTGAGGACGCGGTAAAGTGGCGCCGCTCTAGCGGGTGGACGATGAACGCGAGTTCTTGGGGTGGGTACGTTTTCTGTAAAACGCGTACATAATAGTTTGTACTTTTAACTATGAAGGGATCTCTGATTACGTAATCGTTGAAGGTTTATAAATAGACACTGAATATAATGTAATGTTAAGTACTTATAAAAAAAAGTAAATTAATATAAACGCCCTTTGTTTGTTGTTGTTTTCACACTCAAGTGGATCAAAATTACTAGGTTCACAAAATCGGAAAGCAAACCTCGTGTCAATCAATCAATAAATCAATCAATCAATTTCTTTCTTTCAAATCACCGGTCGGCGACCAATATCTTTGTTACCAGAAGCAAATCTACAATCGCCGCTGCCTGCGCCTAAATACAAAATAATTGCTGAAATTCATCAACCCGAGTTACTTCGTCTTTACTTTTTCCTGATCAATAAGTCTAGAAAATCGGGCTGAAATAAAAAATACGGTCTTGACTTTTTCCTGATCGTCTTCCAAAACCCCACACCATGGTCACCCTTCACACACGGCGCAGATGCGCGTGCGCACCACCTGCCAATCTCGGCGCGCGCAGGTGACCGTGTTTACCTTTTTTAACCCACCCACTAGTGCGGGCAAAAAGGGCTGCCTTAATTAGATTTTTTACTTTAATAGATCTATCGCGGGACAGGTAGAGAACATTTCTCATTTTTCTATATAATAATGGTTTTTAGATACCCCTTTTCAGATGCCTTTCACCCCTTTAATAAAGTCATGATTCGATATGTTAGCTTTTGATTGATTCAAATATCACATTTTAAACTTTCGCGTTCCATTTCAACTAAAATAGTAAGACACGGGTCTTCCTTGTCTTACTATTTTAGTAATATTTTAGTCTGCTTGTGACCACGGCTGCAGCCGAAACGTCAAGCCGTGAGTACATAATGTAACTCATTAATAAACGTCGCGTTAAGACCCGTGTCTTACTATTTTAGTTCAAATATCACAATTATGTTTGTAACGATTGCAGTAAAATTCGTCTGTCATCTTTTCCTTGTAATTGAAGCTCTTTCTTTTAGTTGTTCGTCGACTTTAAATGTCTTTATATTTTGTTGGTGCATAATATGATCATAACTAAGTTGAATCAAGGGAGGAAATAAAGGTACAGGAAGCCGCTGGATGCAGGCCGCTGCCAACCGTGCGATGTGGAAGTCATTGGGGGAGGCCTATGTTCAGCAGTGGACGTCCTGTGGCTGAAATGATGATGATGATGATGAACTAAGTTAACAAAACATTTTATACCCTTAAAATATTTCTATTAATATCCAAAGGAAGAAGTTGCATGAAGAAAATGTTATTCCGTTATAAATGACGATTAAATATTAAATGTTATTGATAACAATAATAGCTTAATGCTAAATTAAATAACAACCTGTAAAATTCCATTAAGGACTTGTTTAATTTACCACCGTGTGCATAGCTTAAATATAATACTTCGGTTGGGTCGTTACTACTCGTTACATTTTAGCACCATGTATAGGATAATTTGCATTCGTTAGTTGTTCAACGTTGTAAGCTTTTATTTTGTTTTTCCTAACCTCTCACGCATGTATACACGGCCTTTCAAAGTTTAACCAAGCGACTCATGTTTATTACTTAATTTCGTTCGGTAATTGAAAATTAGACCACCTTGTTTTTAATTTTGTCTTTACGAGCTTTGGAATAGATAAGATAATACAGATACACCAATTTATAGACCTGTTATAATATGTACCTACTTATTAAATTATAGCAAAATATTAGTAGAGTAGGAAAGTATTTATTTATATTACAAGTAAAGGAACGTACCGGAAAACACAGCGTGAGACGTCGACCACCCACAAGGTGGACCAAAGACATCATAAATTAATGTAGCAGGAAGGCGCTGGACGCAGGCCGCTACCAAGCGGTCAACATTGAAGTCGAAGTCGAAGAAGGGGAAGGCCTATGTTCAACAGTGGATGTCCTATGACTGAAATGACGATGATGATGAAATAAAAGAAAAGTCAGTAAAATAGAACAAATTGTTGTAAACCTGTAAATAAAGACTATAATAAATTAGAATTTTGAAGCTGCCTAGCTCACATTATAAGCTCTTCTTCCAAGCTCTCGCTTAGGTTACTTTTCCGAACTTCCCGAAACATTAGTTGAGCTAACATAAATATTTAAGGCCAAATTGCAAAAAATGCATAACTTATTACTTCTAATCATCGCTTTCCTTTCTAACTAAAATGCAGCATTAAATGGCCGCCTCATTTCCACAAGAACAAAGGTGGCGTGTGCCGTCCCGATATGGCGCGCTTTTTGTACAGCAGATGTTCACGGGATTGCTAGCGTTTTGTACCTGCCACCACACGCCATAGTACACGGGAATACA